CAGCAATCAGACAACAAAAAGAAATAAAAGATATTCAAATTGGCAAAGAAGAAGTCAAACTCTCTCTTTTCGCAGACGACATGATACTTTATGTGGAAAACCCAAAAGACTCCACCCCCAAATTACTAGAACTCATCCAGCCATTCAGTAATGTGGCAGGATACAAAATCAATGCACAAAAATCAGTTGCTTGCTTATACACTAACAACGCAACTGTGGAAAGAGAAATTAGAGAAACGATTCCATTTACAATAGCACCAAAAACCATAAGATACCTTGGAATAAACCTAACCAAAGAGGTAAAGGATCTATACTCTAGGAACTACAAAACACTCATGAAAGAAATTGAAGAAGACACAAAAAGATGGAAAAATATTCCATGCTCATGGATCGGAAGAATAAACATTTTTAAAATGTCTATGCTACCCAGAGCAATCTATACCTTCAATGCCATCCTGATCAAAATTCCAATGACATTTTTCAAAGTGCTGGAACAAACAATCCTAAAATTTGTATGGAATCAGAAAAGACCCCGAATCGCCAAGGAAATGTTGAAAAAGAAAAACAAAGCTTGGGGGCATCACATTGCCCAATTTCAAGCTATATTACAAAGCAGTGATCACCAAGACAGCATGGTACTGGCACAAAAACAGACATATAGACCAGTGGAACAGAATAGAGAACCCCGATATGGACCCTCAACTCTATGGTCAAATAATCTTTGACAAAGCAGGAAAAAATATTTGATGGAAAAAAGTCTCTTCAATAAATGGTGCTGGGAAAATTGGACAGCCACATGCAGAAGAATGAAATTCGACCATTCTCTAACACCATTCACAAAGATAAACTCAAAGTGGATGAAAGACCTCAGTGTGAGACAGGAATCCATCAAAATCCTAGAGGAGAACATAGGCAGTAACCTCTTTGACATTGGCCACAGCAACTTCTTTCAAGATACATCTCCAAAAGCTAGTGAAACAAAAGCAAAAATGAACTTTTGGGACTTCATCAAGATAAAAAGCTTCTGCACAGCAAAGGAAACAGTCAACAAAACAAAGAGGCAACCCACAGAATGGGAGAAGATATTTGCAAATGACACTACAGAAAAAGGGCTGGTATCCAAGATCTATAAAGAACTTCTCAAACTCAACACCCAAAAAACAAATAATCAAGTCAAAAAGTGGGCAGAAGATATGAAAAGACACTTCTCTGAAGAAGACATACAAATGGCTAACAGACACATGAAAGAATGTTCATCATCATTAGCCATCAGGGAAATCCAAATCAAAACCACACTGAGATACCACCTTACACCAGTTAGAATGGCAAAAATGGACAGGGAAAGAAACAACAAATTTTAGAGAGGTTGTGGAGAAAGGGGAACCCTCTTACACTGTTGGTGGGAATGCAAGTTGGTACAGCCACTTTGGAAAACAGTGTGGAGGGTCCTCAAAAATTTAAAAATAGAGCTACCCTATGACCCAGCAATTGCACTCCTGGGTATTTACCCCAAAGACACAGATGTAGTGAAAAGAAGGGCCATATGCACCCCAATGTTCATAGCAGCAATGTCCACAATAGCCAAACTGTGGAAAGAGCCGAGATGCCTTTCAACAGATGAATGGATAAAAAAGATGTGGTCCATATATACAATGGAATATTACTCAGCCATCAGAAAGGATGAATACCCAAGTTTTACATCAACATGGTGGGACTGGAGGAGATTATGCTAAGTGAAATAAGTCAAGCAGAGAAAGTCAATTATCATGTGGTTTCATGTATTTGTGGAACATAAGGAATAGCATGGAGGGCACTAGGAGAAGGAAGGGAAAAATGGGGGGTGGGAAATTGGAGGGAGAGATGAACCATGAGAGACTATGGACTCAGAAACAAACAGGGTTTTAGAGGGGAGGGGGAAGGGGGAATGGTTAGCCCAGTGATGGGTATTAAGGAGGGCACGTACTGCATGGAGCACTGGGTGTTATACGAAAACAATGGATCGTGGATCACCACATCAAAAACTAATGATATATTGTATGGTGACTAACATAACATAATAAAATTAAAAAATAATAATAAATAAAAGAAAAGAAAAGAAAGAAAGGCTCTTTTAAGCTAAGCACTAATTTAAAGATTTTGTAGGCAACATGAAAAAGAAAACTTTTTTTTTTGCTTGTTTCAAACTTTTTTATATAACATTTAAACAGTCATAGTGTTTCTGCTCCAAGATATTTAAGCTTTAGTATAAACTATTTTTTTAGATAAAAAAGTTTGAAATGTAATTTTGCTATTTGGAGTGCCTACCATAAGTACTACAATTAAAAAGATTTTTCATAGTTTTGAGTCCTTGTGTTTCTCATGGAAACCGCTTGATTAGTGCATATCCAACTTTATTTTAACAGCACATATGGCACATAGATTATCTATCCCAGTTTTCTTGGGAAGTTCTTTGAAAGGAGCAGTAGGAAAGTTGTCAATCCCCAAATGGCCAATGGGTTTCACATGTAGCAAATTTGGCTAGCAAAAATACCAACTTAAGTTCAATAACACTGGACTGCAAGTGCCTGAGGATATCTTTTAAAGGTAACTAAACCAGAGGTTTGCTTTTGGCCCTGATCTTTCTACAGAGTGAATACTTCTTCATCAAATAAAGGGAGCTTCAATTGAAGAAATCCATTTTTACAGAGTTTTAAAATTTATTAATCATATAATTATTTAATGCTTACTCTCTGCAAAGCACCGATCCTTGGGATACCCAGAGCCTATTAAGAGAGATACTCTAGTTAGATCTTTTACTTATTGAACTAAGATACTTAAACAAATCAATGTGGGAAACAAAGGCAGAAGAAAAATTATCAAATTTCCTTACTACCTACAGCCCACTGACAAGTCCTTGAAACGGGCAGAGTAATATTCCTCTAGGAACTCAGCTGCCTGGATGTTAATACTTTGCTAAGGGCAAAAGGCAATTTTAGCCCGACCCCCCACGATCCTGTAAGTCTACTTTAACATATAAAAATTCTTTGGGAAACTTCCTTTATCTCTATCCCCCATGATACGTGGTGGCAATCATCCCCCAAGCATATGACCCACCGATATACATCTGAAGGGTCTCATGACTAAGGTTTTATTAACAGTAACAAATGACCTTTTCCCAACCTTGCTTCCAAAATTCGTTAGAAACTTACGCTATCCCTAACCCCCTCCCAACCTGAAAGTACATAATCAGCCACTCCTCATGAGCCCACTGCAGCTCTTTCTGCCAAGGGTCCTGTCCCTGTTCTTTAATAAAACCACCTTTTGCACCAAAGACATCTCAAAAATTCTTTCTTGGTCGTTGGCTTCAAACCCTAACGTCTTTCCTACATCACAAATAACCATGATATCAATATTAAAATGATGTGATGGAGTGTAATGGGAATTTCAAAGAATGAGAAATTACTCTTAGCCAGAGCGATCAGGATTAATAAAGGAAAGAGTATTTAAACTACATCTTGAAAGATGGGTAGCACTTTTAAGATTAAGACAGATGAAGGGAAGAAAACTGTAGGAAGAAAAGACATAACCAGCTTCTACCTGAGGGTCGGGGGTGGTAGAAGGATGACATCAATTATCGAGATGAGTAGAAGAGTAAGCATATTTTAAAAAATAAGCACAACTTTTTGACTCCCTTCTTTATCTGTCTCATGGTAGTACTAGTATCAGAGTATCAGCATTGTGTTTTAATCATGCATTTTATTATGCTTTCTCTGGAATATTGTCATCATACTCTTAACAAATAGTATGACTACATATTATTTTAAAGTTGATATAAAGGCATTTTGTATAGGAAATGTGCTTGAAGAAATGACAGTTTCCCTGTGCCCCACCCCAAGGGAACAGAAGCATAGAATAATGAATGTACGGAGCACCTAAAGGACACAGAAACTTAATTTCAGTTGAGCACTCAGTGCATGACAGGATAGAGTAGAAAGCAAAGCAAAGTTGGATAAAGTCTAATATGTACAGTACTTTAGGTGAATCCTACCTACCATCTGTTTTTATAAATAAAGTGGGGGTTTTGTTTTTTCTTTTTTAAGTAGGCTCCACACCCAATGTGAGACTTGAACTCATGACCCTGAGATCAAGAATCAGATTCTCTACCAACTGAGCCACCCCGGTTCCCCTAAATAAAGTTTTACTGGACCCAGCCATGCCCATTTGTTTACTCACTGTCTGTGGCTACTTTTTTTTTTTTTTTTTAAAGATTTTATTTATTTATTTGAGACAGAGAGAATGAGAGAGAGAGAACACATGGGAGGGGGGAGGGTCAGAGGGAGAAGCAGGCTCCCTGCCGAGCAGGGAGCCCAATGCGGGACTCGATCCAGGGACTCCAGGATCATGACCTGAGCCGAAGGCAGTTGCTTAACCAACTGAGCCACCCAGGCGCCCTGTCTGTGGCTACTTTTATTTACTGTCTGGCCTTTAATGAAAAAGGTTGCCAAACTCTACCTTACACAAAAACATTTTAGTGTATGTACTCTGTGTATAGAAAAAATGAAGACAATAAATTTAAACATCAGAGAGGTCTGAACAGAGCTATGCTTCTGGAAGCATGCTCAGGTTGCTGTGCCTAAGACAAGTTAGAGGGGAAAGACCCTGACGAGTCAAGAGCCCTTAAAGCTATTTTCAAAATAGATAAAATTTAGCATTATTTTATTGCTTTCTATCTTGTCTTCAATGAAATACTACAGCCTAGATTCATTCAAAACTGTGAATTTAACAGTAAAATCAGAAGAAAAACACTCTTAAGAGTGGAAAGGTAAGAGAATTTCTGTGCCTCAGAAAAATATATGTAATCTGGAGGTAAGATGTGTCTGGAAAAATGTCGGGAGCCTGAGCAGCTATGCATGGACTGGAAGAGAAGGTGCAGAGGAAAGAACACGTGGTTGAAATAGGGTCCCAGGATGCCTTGACAGTAAAGAGTAAGCCTGCCATTTCTTTTTTTTTTTTTTTTAAAGATTTTATTTATTTATTTGAGACAGAGAGAATGAGAGAGAGCACATGGGGGGGGGGTGTCAGAGGCAGAAGCAGGCTCCCTGCCGAGCAGGGAGCCCGATGTGGGACTCGATCCAGGGACTCCAGGATCATGACCTGAGCCGAAGGCAGTCGCTTAACCAACTGAGCCACCCAGGCGCCCAAGCCTGCCATTTCTAAACCAGTCTTGAATTCAGTCCATGAAGGTCATCCCAAAAAAGAAGTAAATTTGGTTATAGTAACAGATACCAATGTGAACCAGATAAAGACAAAAGGAAACACTATTAAGCTATAAAATGTGGCTACATTTAGACTACAGTCTAACCTGGAAGGTCCGGGTCCCAATTTCAAATTCTCTGGCAAGAAGATTTTGCTGTATTGATTTAGTCTGGATCAGGTGTCCACGCCAGATTGCAACTCAAGTTCGGAGGCATGAACATGTAACGTGGCCGCCAGGGCGCCATCCCACGTGGTGAGAGGACATTCCTAGAGATGGGGTGTTAGGAAGATACTTCAAAATGTGTCCTCCACAAGAAGCATAACTCCTCTATTGTAGAGAGTCATCAAGGAAGCGAAATTCACTTTGCAAAAATTCTGCTTTCAGCCACGTTTTTTGGATACCTCAGTTCCACAGAGTGCAATATCTGTATTGTATATACCAATCTATCCTATCTCCTCTCTCACATCAGACAAAGGAAAGGCTGAAAATGGCTTTTATAAATTAATTTTTAAACAATTACAGTCAACATTTTGATTGATAATCCAACGAACTACTAAAGAGAAATAAAATGCAGTGCATGGTTCAACCAACAAGCTTCTGTTTTTGAAACTCTGACCTTGACAAATTTGCATTTTAAAGTCATTCATTAATGATTTCCTTTCCGTGGCACAAATACTGAATATAAACCAAGGGAGCGGAGTATGCACAGACATCAATATGTAAAAGATATTGCTGATAAATTCATTGAATCTTGAGGTGATTAGTTTAAAACTCATTGAATTTCTAGTCTTTGAATTAATGCCTTTTTTGTTCATACATGATATTGTACAAGAAGAATCATGTGGCAGTCAAAAAAATAAGCTAACACAGTTGATATCTTCACCATTCCTCATATTCTTGACACTTCTAACAAAATGGTTTTCCACCCTGAATTGACAGTCCAAACAGAGGGACTTCACATAGAATTTTAAACTGCATTCGTGTTAGATGCTATCACAACACAATACCAAACTCATGAGATCAAACAAATAATTTCTCTTTTCCCTGATGCAGACTTAAGAAGTGTATCATCCCTTTTAACTGGTAATTTTTCTTACAAGAGTACCTTGTAGGAAGTAAAGTACACTGACGTTCTTCATACATTACTATATGCTGGGATTTAAACTGAAAGCTAGTTCCATAGGGAAACAAGGAGAAAAAAAAAATAGTGTTTTTAAGTCTCCTTCTGTGGCTTACTAAGAAAGTTAATAGTGCAGACTAAAAATGTATATGTGAATATGAAATAAATTTTTGAAGAAATATGACAAAATATTTGCAATCACCACTTTGCTAAAAGCTACAAGCTATTCCATTTCCAGCATGTGAGGGGATGAACCCTGTGACTGTAGCTGCATTATTGGCTCTTTCTTTAGTCAGACTTCCACTAGCAAAATAGATATTTAATATTCTTGATCCTAATGCTTCAGGGAAAAGTTTTGGATTTTGGGGGGGGAGGGGAGGTATTTTTCCTCTCCCTCTCTGTGCTCCTCTCATCCTAGCTTTGAGGACTTATTGATCCCATAATTATACACATATGTCTCTGAAAAATTTGTCTGTGAGCACATATATGTAGATTAATTACTTCCCATGTATTAGCCTTAGGACCTGCCTCAGATAACGAAGGTCTTCCTTTCTTTTTACCTGTGCCTTTAAGTTTTGCATCCTCTTTGGATTAAACATTCATTTCTTTCAACCTTCCTTCTCTGTCAGGCTCGGCATTTGTAGCTTTTATACAAATTATATAATCTGACCCTCACAATCATTTTCTGGAAAAGATCATCTTCCTGAATGAGAAAACTGAGGCACCGAATATCCAGACTTAGCTAGTACACATTGCAGAGCAGAGACTTAAATCCAAGTCTTTTTTTTTTTCCTAAAGATTTTATTTATTTATTTGAGAGGGAGAGAGCATGGGCGGGAAGGTGGGGGAGCCTGATGTGGGGCTCAATCCCAGGACCCTGGGATCATGACCTGAGCTAAAGGCAGATGCTTAACTGACTGAGCCACCCAGGCACCCAAGTTCAAGTCTTTTGATGGATGCCACGTGTAGTTTGCTTTCCACTATGCCTTGTCCTTTGCTCTGCAGGGTCTTCCCACTAAAGGGCACAACTTCTACAGGTGGCCCTCTCTGCACAGGTCTCTGCTTCTAGAATCTTCTCCTTCCTGACCTATTCATTCCTCATCCTTTATAAATCATCTGTCTATTGGATTATCCAGTTTGAATGTTTTCTGTTGCCTGCTGAGAACCTGATTGGTACCGCATAATCCTAAACAGCATTCTCCAACTCTCTACTAACTTCCATCCCAATTCCCATTTCTACCATGCTCCATCTCAACTGCTCTTGCCCTTGCTCCCATTGAAGTACTCATTCCTGCGATCCTTGTTCTAGACAAACAAGTTCTTCCAGTTTTTCTTATAAGAAGAAAATAATCTGATTAAAAAAAAAAAACATTCTCACTATATTTCCATTACTAATAAATATGTAATGTATTACCATTCTACCCCATCTCCAAACTGGCCAACAATATTTGCATATTTGCCTTGATCTCAAAGAGTAAATCTCTAATGTCAGCATGCCAGGTATCTGCTGCAGGTGGCTTAGGGTCAGATGTTTTTGACCATGCAAGCTCAAAGATCTGCAGTTAAGGGGAGAGATTATTGGCTAGGGCTGAATTTCAAAACTACTTTTATAGCATCTAAAGTACTCGCTCCCTGTTTTGAATCTGATTGGTAATAAAAAGCATCTAGTAGATAAAATGTGATAGGTAATACATTAATATTAAACAAGAGTAAAAGAGTATGTATAGATGGAAAGTTCCAGAAGAGCCTTCTGTATAGGATGCTTATATATGGTTTCCGACTCTAAGCACATGGGCAGTTTGCTTAATTAAAAAAAAAAAAAATCAATGAGATAATACAGTCAAATCATTTTTAATGAACATATTCTTTGTCATTCTATGTAATTACTTATTCTTTTCCTATTTAATATGGAGCAAGAAGTCTTATATACGTTTCAACTAAATAAAATATGAATATAAAAAATATAACCATTTAAAAATTTCCTATGGACTTTTTTCAAATAGACACATTAGAGAGGATTGGAGATTGGATTGTCCGTACATTATCAAGTAATAACCCAAATAAAAATATGCTTCCAGACATGTACAGATGGCTGTTTTATAATCACTGAAACTTAAGAAATGATGAAATATGGTTGGCCTTTAGGTTTCCTGGATGAAGTCTAATAGAGGATGCTTTAGCATCTGAGGATCCAGAGGATGTATAACAAGTGTTATCACCAAGATAATGTTGGATAAAGTCTTCAGCCGAGCAGAAGTAAGAAAGCAGCCTGGGGCCTTGGGAACCTTCTGTCTGGCCTGTGGCATCGTTATCTGCCACAGTATCTAGTCTGTACAGAAACCTTATTTTAATTTCACTTGGGATCCATATGTTTCTGCCGACCTTTCCTTGCAAAGATGACTTTTTTCCCACACTTTGCTATTTTCTGCTTTCTAAGCATGTGGGTATTTTTTAAAATTCTTTTGGTTTTGTTGAAGTGACATTTCACTAGCTAAGACAAACAAAGCTTCCAACATAAGGGTGGTGATTAAAAGAGTTTGATAGTATCTTAAATGTACACACAATGTAAGACTATCACAGACGGTGCATTCTATACTCTGACACCAGCACCTACGCTTCTAAAGCCATATTTGTTTAATCCAATAGATTAATCATCCTTGAGCTTCGTTCTTATCAAATGAGCTCAAGTTCACTTTAGTGCGTTGTTGGGCTTTCTTTTAATGGACTTAAAAGAATATGAGGAAACCGTAGGGACATATTACTCATTTTCAATCCCTGCAGAACTGAGTTTTCCAACTGTCATTTAAAATATATAATACTCATCAAGAAGGCATGCCTGGAATGTGACTTGATATAAGAGAAGGCTGTAACCTAACCAACTGTACTGATACAGCTGAAGAATAAATGTCACCAGATGGCCTGCGTGAAGTCAAGGAACACAATTCTGTCAGTGTACTTTCAGCACCACCCAGAGATGAAGGTGACTCGGCCATCTGACATGGACATTCTGGTTCCTTGGCAAATATACCCTTAGGGTGTGTTGGGGGACATCATGTGTCATAATCTGATGATATCAGCCATTTAAAACATCCCATAACTGTTTTGATTGCATTTCTACCAACTCATTTGAATTTCCATGGAAATGTGCTGTTGTTTTTTATCAGGAGAGAGAATGTGCAAACCAGGTGATACCAGTATTTTAGTTCATTTGGCACTGTACTTCTCACTGAAAATTAATAAACATACTGTCACACTGAGTTATAAAAATAGGTAGCTGTAACAAAATTATTCTCTCTATCCTGCTTCCATAGCTATGCTAATGTTTAGGCAACTTTTGTAGTTTCCTTTTCTTTTTACCACTCTTCCTCATTTCTTACCTCCTAATAAACCAACTGTGACTTGTTATCCTACCTCTTTTACAGGGCAATTATGAAAATGAAGTAAAAGATACAAGTGAAAGAACTTTTATGAAATACAACAACTATGTACTTTTGAAATTGAAAATAGGGCTTTCCACATTGCAAGTACTCAATAAATATTTTGGATTTTTTTTTTACGTGCCATCTTGTTCCACAAAGGAGTTAAGGTGGAATAGCAAAAGATTATTTAGGAAATTTATCTCTCATCTTCTTTCTTCCTAGAATTGATATTCTTTCTTTTAATCTGGTTCCACCCCTCACTCACTTCCCCTTCTTTTTATATACTGTATGTGTGTGTGTGTGTGCACTCAGAGCTAAATATTTATTCCTTTCCTTATTCTGAGGTTATTTTTTTTCCCATCATTCACAAAGTATTGTCATAATAGTATTAGTTAAGCTTTATTGTGTACTATACTAAATATTTAAATACACTATCTCATTTAATATTCAAAATAACCCTAAAACGTAGCTAGTACTTATTGGCTGCTTACTGTCTGCTTGGTCCTATTTTTCCATTTACCAAGGAGAGAACTAAAGTTCAGAAAATTTAAGCAACATGACCAAGGTCACAGAGATTATAGGTAGAGAAGCTAAAGCTTGAATCCAGATATTTGACTACATGGTGTTCTACTGATTGTCTTTATATACATATTTTTAGAGTAAAACATTTCTCCTTTACCTACCCAACTCCCTTCCCTTCCCCTGACAGAAGGAGGAAAATTGATAACACCATTTGAAACATGTTAGCACCGTTTTCTGGTATTATCACTATATTTTCAATAAACGTGCTTATTGTGATATATCCTGATTTTTCACTAATGACTACATGCTATAAAAGATGGAATTTAACTCCCTATACCACTGCCTCACATGCAAACATTTCCTTCCCCCATCTTTCCACTCTAAAAAAAAGTTGTATTCCTGACAATATCTGTAGGTCGTTTTTCATGAGCTATGTTTTTCCACAGAGGAATCCTACAATCTCCTGCCTAAGGAATATAAATTGAGCCTCCAATATTCTGGGTATTAAGAACCCCATGGAAAAGGGTTCTGAGAGTCTCATTTTTGAGAATGTAGACTTTCACATTTCCCCCATTTTTATTATGGTATCTTCCCAGCGTATCCACACTTAACTGTCTAGCATCTCCAAAAGCAGAACATCCTCGGATTCAACCAGTTAACCTTCAGGCTTCTGCTTGGAAAAAGTGGGAATAAAGAGGAATTGGGAACTCCTCCTTATAACACTGTCAACCCATTCCCTGCTTTCAGCTCTGCCCTGCATTCCCACCTTCAGAAGCACCTGGTGGTTTCAATTTGGGAGCCTTTCCAGGGTTCAGCAGTTTTAATTAATTTACTGGTAGGCTTAGGTTTCAGCTTTCCTAGACCTGCTAAGTCAGTTACCATTCATCCATCTGCTTGGCAATTCCAAAATTATCTGTTGTTCCAAAAATGTACTGGAACGTTAAATGACTGATTGAGAGGTGAAGTCTTATACTTCGAATTAGCAAGCCAGATCAACCAATGAGAACACACTTGTCCACAGTGTTCTCAGTATCCTGGTCCTCTCCAAATCTATTTAGGGAAAGGGAATGTTGGTTGAGAGAGGAAATTACAGATTATCCGTTCCATTTAAGTCAACAATTAAATAACCTTGTGTGAAAATTACTTCTAAGATCCATACTTCCATCACTACTGTTTCACAAAGAATTTTAGCTTGTCTACTTGCATATATGGTCTCCAAGGAGACCTATCTGCTTCTTGTCAGTATATGCCCAATGCTAAGCATGCTGCCTGACCTATAATTGGTGCTCAATAAATGTTTGCTGAAAGGATGAACACAAAGATGTACCCCTCAGGTAGAGGTTTAGTTCAGTTCAGCAAGAAATGATTATGATTCATGATCATAGAGAAGAGCAGTGAAATCCTCATGAGAAACTTCCTTGTTCACAAGTGCTGCAAGAATATGAATCCTTTTATTTATTTATTTTTTCAATGCAGAAGATTCTTTTATCATAGTATGGGGACAGGACCCATGGGCAGAAAGAGCTGCACTGGGATTGTGAGGAGTGACTGATTATAAATTTTTCAGTTTGTGGGGGTTAGGGATAACATAAGTTTCTAAGGAATTGTGTATGATGAAAGCAATATCTCCAAAACCTAGGATGGCTGGCTATTGTCAAGATAAGGTTGTTTTTAATCTTTAATGGAACATCAACATTAAGGTAGCATGAGTTCTTTGAAGAATGTCATGCTCTGCATGTCTCAGGAATTTATCAGTGGGCTGCAAGTTGTAAGGAGACTTAATTTTAGCTGCATTTATTTTGTCTTTGCTCTCCTCATCATTTTCCCCATGAACAATTTTGACCCTTAAATCTTTAAGTTTGCTGAGGGTGAAAGGTCTTATCTTCTATAACTTCTTCCTGCTGAATAGGGTGTAAAGATGTCCCTACCTATGGATCAACATTGGTCAGTTGGGGATGTAGGAGTTATGAAAGGCAAAGGCAGCTAAATCCAAGGTAGACATCATATATGACTCTTCTTGAGTTGAAAGGATCATCTGTCAGCTTGAAGTTACGGCATTCAAGGAGTCTCAGGACCAGGTAAAGAGACTTTGGAGAAGACAACAAAATAATATTAATATTATTATGAGAATATGAATCCTTTTAAAGATATCCTACCTAAGGTCTACTTTGGATAGACACTGGACATTTAAGAGGAAAAATATATCTAATTTATATATGCTTCAGGGGCACCTGGGTGGCTCAGTCGGTTAAGCATCCAACTCTTGATTTCAGCTCATGTCATGATCTCAGGGTCATGAGATGGAGCCCCACGTCAGGCTCTGTGCTGGGCATGGAGCCTGCTTAAGATTCTCTCTCTCCCTCTCCCTTTGCCCCTCCCCCTGCTTGCACACATGCACGTGGGCTCTCTCTCTCTCAAAATAAATAAATAAATCTTCTTTTACAAATTTATATATGCTTCACATTTGAACCTCATCTTCAAACTCAGATGTTCAAGAAGTTAGTATTACTTCCTTAGTTCTAACTACTAAATTTCTACTGGGGTAGAAAGTCCCTCAAGTAATTAAGTAATTAATCTCAGTCAATCCCAGTAAGTCCCCAGTCCCTTTTTTTCAGGGTGCATCCACAATCAGAGGGGCTTCTTCAGTACCAAGGCATTTATATATGTGGAAGGAGTAAAGAAAGGACAGGTAGAATCTGGTTCTCAGTGTCATCTGTCTGCATGGCATGTGCCAACCCGTTCAGTCTGCAAAGAGGGAGGGATGGAAGATGAGCTTAGGAGAAAGGACATTAGGAATGGAAAATGCCAAGAAAAGCTTGATTAATATCTCAAAGATATTATCCCACCTTTTCCAATTGGAATCCCATGGGGTTGATTTCCTTCAATTTTAATTTTATCACATTTTTTTTTAAGATTTTATTTATTTTTTGACACAGAGAGAGACAGCGAGAGAGGGAACACAAGCAGGGGGAGTGGGAGAGGGAGAAGCAGGCTTCCCGCCGAGCAAGGAGCCCGATGCGGGGCTCGATCCCAGGACCCTGGGATCATGACCCGAGCCGAAGGCAGACGCTTAACGACTGAGCCACCCAGGTGCCCCAATTTTATCACATTTTTGCCCAAACCTCTTCCTTGTCTTATCTGTCTTTCCAGGAGTGCTCTGTACCCCCTTCCCACATTCCCCAGTGGTTTATTTCGCCTGACCCAGGCTGTTTGTTTCTGTCTCACAGTTGTCCTGCTGCCAACAGGGTGGGATGACCAGGCTGCGCCAAGCTATCCAGATAATATCACTCCTGGCAGGAAGAGAGATTTGCAACAGTAATACATATTGCGCCTTCCTCACATTCCGGACACTCCCAGGAATCATGTGGGGCCCACTTGTACATAATTGGCTCTCCACTTCATTCATCTGGCAGCCAAGACCCATAAACTAAATCTGGTTTCCAGCAACAGCAGTGGTAACATCAGTATCAAAACTAGTTTAGTCCATTCCACAAATGTAAAATTTTTTAAATTTGCTTTGACAAATACTCCTGTGAGCAGTGTTTCTGGAGACCACCTCCAACCATATTTTTACTGAGAACTTGTCTTTTTATAGATCATAACAATAATAACAACTGACATACAGTGAACCTTTTTCTGGGCTTAGGCTAAATGTTTTACATAAACTTTCTCATTAAATCCCCATCACAATCTCATCTCCATTTTACAGATAAAGAAATAAGATTATAGAGAATAGTCACATTATTTGCCTAAACTCACATAGCTGATAAATACTGAGTCCAGAATTAACCAAGAATTATGTCAGAATTTGAACTCTTAACCACTATCATATTCGGCCAACCAAATTGGCACACAAATTTATTAAGTAATCTCTAACTTAAAAGATAGTACCAAAAAATTAGATGTCATTAGGAAAAAGAGAAATTCAAACTCATATTAGCTGTTCTAGGTGAAAATAATATTTTTTTCCCAATTGAAATACTAGCACAGATACATAATTAACACCAAAATGTAACCTGAAGAAAGCAAGAGTGAATGGGTCCATTTTTTTTAACTTTAGAAACAAATTCATCACTACCACAGTGATGAAACCACTAAGCAGAAAGCCAAAAACAAAACAAAACAAGTATATCAAAAAACTATCCCATTCCATTTCTGCCTCTATTCCTTTTTATAATTTTCTTCTCCTGGTACTTGGATATAAAATACTAGGGAAGTGTACATTTATTTATCCTCATGTTATAAAAAGACAACCTGAGAGAGCTGAACCACCACTAAGCCAAGAATCAGAAACTACACTCAATGCAAACTCAACCACTAACCAGCCATGAGAAATTAGTAGACATGTCACTAAAGCATTGTCTTAAAGAAGCATGCAAAATAAGAGGGCTAGACTGAATAAGCTTGCAGGTTCTTTCCAGCTTGAACATTCTTTTATGTCAATCATGTAGCTCAAATTATGAACATTTCTTTTCTGAATTAGCAGGCCCAGAGGGAGCTCTTGAAGAAGAAAAATATAATAGGAAATTAAAAATAAGTAAGGATCTATCATTACAGATCAAGCCCAAAGTTGCATATTTCTAAAAGGCAGGTAATCTTATTGTCTCAACTATTATACAAATGCAGCGGAAATGACCCAATAATAGTATTTTCATACCATACGGGGACTTCTATCTTAAATACTACTCCACCTGTCTTTGTCTTTCTGCAACTTGTTACTCTCTGTTCTCATCTTCAACATAGTTTACCCTAAGAATTTATCCTTCACTCTCTCTGGAGAAAAATAAATCCACCCTTAGCATTCTGTGAATTTCCTAATAGAAACTTTTTATAATTTATTGTAATTGCTTATGAATTGATTTTTCTTCTGACAGTATCATAAGCTCTGAGAGTCTGTCTCTTTTTCTCAGTAGCACTTACAAGAGTTACTGGCACATGGTAGTTGCTCAATGAATTTTCTCTGGTCCAATTCCCTCACTTACAGATGAGAAACTGCAGCTCCTGGACACAAACACTAAATTCCTGGCATAGAGCTCTTTTCACCACATAACACTGTCTCTCAAACTCTGAAGTCTGTATTACATATTTTCAGACTAACTTTAAGTAGAGACAGGGATGATAATAACTCTATTATAAAATGCAAATATGCTAAGACATATGTGGAGTTAAAAAAAGTCTTGCCCTAGATAAATGCAAGCAGAAAAAATATAAAATTCCTAGCTGATTGTGAGATATAGATAGGATCAAAGAAGTTGCTGACAATTCCTCAGTTTTTAAATCAAATCACAACCATGACCAGTTAAAAGACATAACATAGGTGTTTACTCCCAGGACCTGGCGGGGGGCGGGGGGGTTGGAAAAAAAAAGAGGCAAAATCTAGAGTTCTCAGACTTAGAAAGAAAGATAAAGTTTGAATTTTTTTTTTCTTTTAAGTAGGCTTCATGCTCAGTATGGAGTCCAATGTGGGGCCCAAACTCAACGACTCTGAGATCAAGACCTGAGCTGAAATCAAGAGTCAGATACCTAACTGACTGAGCCACCCGGGTGCCCCTAAAGTTTGGAACTTTTAATGTTTCATTAATAGATGGACAAGAATGATTTATAAAGATACATATACAGCACCACCACCACCATCACCACCACCACCATATGTATGCAAGGGTTTTTAGGGTTTTAAAAATACCCATCGGTGTACATGTGCATCATATAAAAATAGTCTGGATAAACCCTAAAATTAAAAAAGATTGAATGAGCTATCAGTACAGGGCAACTGTGGATCAAGCTCTGGACACATGACTTTATTCCTAACTGAGTCTGACTCATTGGATCATTTTGAGGACCTAACACTCCCAGAGGTCTCCGCAGGCAAAACGAAAGCACTCAGTGGTTACTGACATGGAGCCTTCATGTGGAAAACTGAATGGAGAAGTCTGGCATGGGGAGTGGGAAGGGTAAGACAGATACCAGGAGAAAAGATACTGAAAGAAAGCAAAACTAGTTCCTCAGCACAACACCGTCAAACAGCCCACTTCTCAGTCTTTACCTAACTTTTATTTTTTGGTGCTACAACAGTTACCTGGGGTCCATGAAGAAATAGCACAAAGACAAAAAGCAATACACTAAAGGGACGCCTGAGTGGCTCAGTCGGTTGAGCGTCCGATTCTTGATTTTGGCTCAGGTCATGGACTCAGGGTTCTGAGATAGAGCCCCATGATGGGTTCCGACCTGAGCGTGGACCCTGCTTAAGATTCTCTCTCCCTCGCCCTCTGCTCCTCCCCCTACCCCCCACCCCCACCACTGGCACACTCTCTCTCTCAAAACAAACAAACAAGCAAAAAAAACCACTAAGGATGGCAGATTAAAAAGAGGAAAAGCCCTTTTAATATTACTTGAAGAGATTCTTGTGATTCAATATGGTGTAATATAACAGAAGAATTTATTGAAAATAAGTGATTTATACTCTGTAATCAAACTATGTAAAGCTCACCAAAAAGTTTAAAATAAGCACCTTATACACACACCCCACTCATTCAACTTACACATAACTAACCATACAACTGAAAATTTACAACACTTCTCAATTTGTGTATTAATGTAAATCAGAGTGGGGGCTATGATTAAGGGAGATTTCTTGCCTGGTTCTAGTTAGAATCTTTTCTCTTTTCTTATTTCCAAATTGTTGAAAAGCGGCCTCTTTCTAATGCTTTTGGAAGGAAAAATGAACATACCATTTCCCAATGTAAACCCTCCAATCATTTTGTTATGAAAATGTATCCCACACCATCATCAAATGTAAACATCCCACACTCCCTGGGATATGTCTGCAAAAGTCTGCATCAAAGGCAAAGGGTTCATATTAACAGGGCACAAGCAGGCATTCCACATTGGAGAGTACATACAAATATTTAGAATATTATAAAATATTTTATCTGTTGCAGTTTAGGTGTTATTAATAAAACTTACAATAATAAAATTAGAAGGCTTGTGTACTTTGGAAAGCAAAACAATGCTTGAAAAATAGAATAGATGGCAGTTTTCTTAAATTGGATTTTTTTAAAGTATAAAATATACATCATTTAAAAATATGTGTAGTTTCGAAAATGTAAAACAGAACATCAAAACCAGGAAAGACAAAAGAGAAACTTCAGATCATTTTAAGGAAGAGGAAACTACCAGCACTAAGTGACAGAAAGTGAAGGAACTCCTCAAGCCCTGCTTCCGTAGGAGGCTTTTTAAACCTTTAATAACAGAACGAATGGGGGGAGGGGTGGATCACTTGTTAAGCCACGCTATCCCACCTCACTTAATTTGACTTTGTGTTCTTCATCAGTCTCAAACCCCGAGTGGATTCCCTCTCTGACTCCTCTCCTGTTGCTCTCCTTTGCACTCTGCACAGCTGGGTTGTGTCTGGCTTTTCTCTTCGCGGATTGCAAAAAAATGTGCCAGATGAAATGGACTGCTCCCATCTTGGTGTCATTTTATAAAATTCTCAGGTTCCACAATTTTCCTCCCAACGTCTCTTGAAGAAAGAGAAATCCTTAGAATAACAAGTGATCGCTCCTTCACCAGGAGTAGGGATGGGAAGAAATAATAACCCAAGGGAGAAAAAGGGACAAAAAACAACTGCTTATAGTGGTGTTTGGAGAAAATTATGTAAATATTTATGCAAAGACAGCTTTGCAGAACACATCGAGATGCATCAGAACCCGTGCGTACAGGCAGCCTCACAGTTGGATCAACAGCCTGAAAAGCAGATGTGCCAATTTCCTGTATTTGATTATGATGATTCCTAATTATGCCAAAGCTGTGGCAATGTCCTTCCCTAGAATGACTCTTAATTTTGTTTTGCTAAGCCACACACACAACTTGTTTTGGACGTGTAATTCATTGTCACGTTAAGTCTATGAAATACTCATTCGCTTGCCTAATAGTTCTGAGGACAATGGCTCACATGGATGCTGTTTTCTTTTTTAATTTGGCATTTGCAAGCATGCAGGGGAAAAAGTAAGAAAATATGCAGAGTGATAGAGCCATGCTGTTTAACATCAGTGAGGCTCCGGCTTTTCCACCATGGTACAAATGAAAAGAATACCATTATATGGTTGTTCTTAAAAGGGCAGTTTTCTTGCTTTTCTTGTGTTTACACTTACAATGTCATTATCAACAAAAAAACTCGGCACCATTTAGATTAGGCATGGACTATAAGCCAGAGCAAACGGAGAATACCTCTATCAGATGTCAAAATTAACAAGTAGCTTGACCGTTGAGGTGCTTTGACCCAACTGCATGGTAGTTGGAGGGAGAAAAGCAAAATATGACTAATTCAGGAGTCATAGAATCCTCCGTATGAACCTTTAACTTCTCTGACACACACATTTGCTAACCTGACTTTAATAGTTAAATTCTTTTGCACTTCAGACCCCACAACTGATATTCATTATCTGCTTTATAACATAAAATGTGCTTTTCACTTATAATCCTTTATTAGTACTGTACAACAATCCCATGAGGTCAGTATTGTTATTACCCTTATTTATAGATGTAGAAATAAGTACAGAGAAGTTAAATTACATGTTCAAAGAAAGCAACAGAATCTGGACTTAAACTTCAACTTATACACAGATCAATAACTCTTTATTAAGCATCTATTTATTAACTAGGCTTGATCCTTATGAAAAATAGTGACAGAGGCAGAGCTGGGTCTGGCCCCTTCCCATCTCCAACTTTTAACCAATTGTTTTGTTTTGTTTTTAAAGATTGTGTTTATTTATTTGACAGAGAGAGAGAGTTCAAGAGAGCACAAGCCAGGGAAGCTGCAGAGGGAGAGGGAGAAGCAGACTCCCCCCTGAGCAAGGAAACCTATGCAGCTAGATCCCAGAATCCCAGGATCCCAAGATTCTGGGATCATGACCTGAGCCAAAGGCAGACACTTAACTGACCGAGCCACCCAGGTGCCCCAACTTTTAACAAATTGTAAATATGTTTCTCTCCCTCCAGGAATCTAGTGGCTTCCTGCTTCTCTCTGTATGAGGAACCAACATCAGCTCCTCCACTTCAGGCTCTGAATCCTTCTAATTTCTTCTCCAAACATTCTCCCCAATTTTGCTCCTTTACAGACGTAATCCAGATTTACTCACTATGGAAAAACTTGAGGACTTGATTGTGATTTGCACTACAATGTAAGCTTGATGAAGGGAGACCCTTTGTTTTCTTCAGTCTTCGTCTCCAGCAGAACCTTGAGTGGTGCCTGGAACACTGTAGGCCTCAGTAAATATCTGTTAAATATATATAGTTGTAGTCCATATTTAAACTCATTAAAACAAAACTATCTTAATCTGGGTTTCCTAAAATAGAACATTAGACAAGGACTCAGACTGAAGTAGTTTATATGGAAAATAACGGCTGGAAGTAGATGTGAGGGAGGAGGGGGTGAATTAGGGGAGGGGCAAACCCAATATAAAGCTTTATAATCAAGTTCACTTTTTAGCTGACAGTAGCTCAACTCCCCCCAATCCCAGAACCTCTTGGCTATGTACAGACACTCACAGAACTGTCCACTCAAGAAACGGGTCTGGAGCATTTATCTGTGGACTCTTCTGATAGACAGCCACCCTGAGAGTGTTTATATGCCCACACTTCCAAGGAGCATAGTAGGCTCTTCCCATAGCTTTGGAGAAGTCCCTGAAGAAGAAAGTAGAAATACACAGTATAGTAAATGCTATCAACATGAGATGAGTCTGAGCCTACAAAATGAGTCTAGCCAAACAAACTAAACATGGTAGCAACAGCTAATATTAGATGTGACAAAGAGGATGTATAACAAAGAACCAAAGTACCAGCTCTACCAACATAAAGGAAAATCAAGAGATACTAGTGTTATTTATTATTCTAGCTAGGAAAATTACAAGAATTTCTGGAATTCTGAAAGTACTGGAATTCTAGAATACTACTTCGTAGGCATGCAATCAAGTACGGCTTCTTATGAAGGACTGAGAATGTGTGACATTTTGATACTACAGGAACAAGTAAGCAAGCGTTTGTCAAGCTGAATCTATAGACTTAACTCCTCAAAGTCTGATGACCAGTTTTTTGGAGATTTGCAGGTTTGAAGCATATATGCAGAGGCGCCTGGGTGGCTCAGTCGTTAAGCGTCTGCCTTCGGCTCAGGTCATGATCCCAGGGTCCCGGGATCGAGCCCCGCATCGGGCTCCCTGCTCAGCGGGAAGCCTGCTTCTCCCTCTCCCACTCCCCCTGCTTGTGTTCCCTCTCTCGCTGTGTCTCTCTCTGTCAAATAAATAAATGAGATCTTTAAAAAAAAAAAAGAATATATGCATACTATAGTATATAGCATATAATGCAGTATAATATATGATGTATATATATATACATGTAATATATATACTATTATAGTGTGTGTGTGTATATACACATCATCTATTTATGCCCATACTTTCGTTTTAATTAAAGAATCATTGTAATAAAATAATTTAGTTTATCTCTCAGGGTCCATAAGAACCCTTTTAGAAGGAATCCTCACCTTACTTAAGTCTGAAAAAGTGTTGAATCAGGATATAATATGCACTCAGGACAAAACGGCCTTATCAGATATTAAGAAAACCATGGAGCCTTAAACTACATTTGTATTGTACAAACAACTATTATATTCATAACTATTACATATAAAATTTTTAAATGTTGCAGAAATAATTAGGTGAGAGAGGCAAAGTACCTACTATAAGGAATTCATCCTACACTTAGCTGGGAAAATAAATCACTTGTTGTCATCCCTAGCACTATAGCCAATGCATTTTGCTTGCCAAATAAAAGGTGAGGGAATAATCCATAGGAGGCCAACAATGCTATGAGCTTGATTGTACAAAGTGACTTCATAAACATGATGAAATTTGGAGTAGGCCTTCTAAGTGCAGAGGATGAAGATCTGGAAGAAGAAGAGAGTTTCCAGGCAGGAGAATGCAGGCACAGAAATAAGAAAGTGGGTGAGTATATCCCTAGGGCACAAGACAAATTATTTTCACAAAATGAAAATACATTTTGAGGAATAATGGAAGATAAGATTGGAAAGGTCAGTAAAGAACAGATTTAAGAGAATTATGAATACCAACCCTGTAATTTGAAGTGGTAAACTCTGGACAATGGATAGCCATTAAAGATTTGGGACAGGTGGTAGGGTGAGAGCTAAGGCACTGTTTTCAGAATACTAGAAAAATGTCAGTGATAGCGGAAGGCAAAATAGGTCTTTTGGAATCAAGCTTCAAATTATCTTAATCTCTAACTGAAATAAATGCATTGAAGAGTGTCCCTATATCCAAGAAGCTAATGTAAAATCTCTCTGTAGAAAGACAGTATCTCTTAGGCCTGAAGTTATCTCTACAATGTTCCATATGCAATGTCAGACCTGCAATCCAAATTCAAGAGGAGTAAGAGGAGGGGCTCCTGGGTGGTTCAGTCAGTGAAGCCTCGGATTCTTGATTTCGGCTCAGGTCATGATCTTGGAGTCATGAGATCAGCCCCACCTCGGGCTCCATGCTGAGTGTGGAGTCCACTTGGGATTCTCTCTCTTCCTCTCCCTCTGCCCCTCCCAGAACCTCTTGCCTATGTACAGATCACTCACAGAACTGTCCACTCAAGGAACAGGGGTCTGGAGCATTTATCTGTGGACTCTTCTGATAGACAGCCACCCTGAGAGTGTTAATATGCCCACACTTCCAAGGAGTGGCAATAAATAAATAAATAAATAAATAAATAAATAAATAAATAAATAAATAAAATCTTTAAAAAATAAAGAGGAATAAGAGAAGACAAAACAACAATCTAATCAAAACCAAGAAGAACATGAGAAAATAAAAAGAGAGCCACAGGGATGTCAACAGTAACTTTAAAATAACTATGCTTGATATGTTAAAGGAAATAAAATAATTTTGACATAGAACCAAATAAAGCACATTTTAGAAAGGAAAAATGCAATAACCAAAGTCAGGAACTTTATGTAAGGGTTTATAAGCAGATTATAGAAGGTAAAGTGATCATTAATGAACTTGAAGGTGAGTCAGAGGAAAAGATTCAAAGAAAGACGAAAAGTATGAAAAATAGAGAAAATATGTTAAAGGCATAAAAGACTCAGTGAAGGGGGGCACCTGGGTGGCTCAGTCAGTTAAGTGATGGACTCTTGATTTCAGCTCAGGTCATGACAGAGAGTCGGCTTGAGATTCTCTCTCTCCCTCTCCTTCTGCCCCTCCCCCTACTCTCTCTCTCTCTCAAAAAAAAAAAAAAGAGATTCATTGAAGAAAAATCTAACACAGGTATAACTAGAGAACCAAGAAGGCAAGGAAAAAGAAATTTGGGAAGGATGAATAGAAATGATGGAAGCCAGAGACCATGGAATAGTTTAAAGAAAATAACTGCAACTTGGAATTTGCCACTGAGAGAAAACAACATCCAAAACTAAGGAGAAATATTTAATTCTTTCAAATCCACACTGAAGAAAATTCTAAAAAGTATTGAAGCTGGGAGAGCTATGGTCTTAGAATTTCAGAGATTCAAGAAAAAATTAAAAGCAAAAACAAAAGGCAATTAGGTGGGTAATTCTAAATAAATACTGGCTATTTAAACCAAAACAATAATGTTTTGTGAACTTTAATATTTACTAAGAATCAAAATAGATGGCAACAATAGCATAAAACCCGTGAGGGAGGATAAATGGAGTTAAAGTATGCTAAGACTCTTGTATTATCCAGAAAAAAACGAAAAGAGCACTAATTTAGGTTACTTTGATAATTTAAGGATGCATGCTTTAATCTCTAGTGTAACCATTAAAAGAATGTATGACTACTAAGATAACAGAGAGAGAAATTAGAAAAATCGGAAAAATATGGCATCAATCCAAAGAAGGGAAAAAAAGAGATAAAAAATAAATTAGTTGGGATGAATAAAAATTACATAGAAATTTAAATCCAGACATATCAGTAACTGCATTGAATGTAAATGGCTTAAATGTTCCCAAGAAAGACAGATTATCAAAATGAAATTAAAAAAACAAAACTCAACCATTTCCCTCCCACAGAGAGACAAATATAAGGATACAGAAAGATTGAAAGTAAAAGGATAAAAGCAAAAGATATGTGCTGCAAATATTAACCAAAAGAAAGCTGGTATAGCCCTAAAGACTTTATGGCAAAAAGCATTACTAGGGCTCAAGAGAACACTTCATGGAGCACTGGGTGTTATACGCAAACAATGAATCATGGAACGCTACATCAAAAACTAATGATGTAATGTATGGTGATTAACATAACATAATAATAAAAAAAAACTAAAAAAAAAAAGGGAACACTTCATAAAAGGCTCAATTCACCAGGAAGATACAGTAATTCTAAACATGAAAACAAAAATACAGAGAACTGAGAAAAATAAATAGATCTATAACCACAGTAGGATATTATAACATCCTTCTCTCAGAAACGAATAGAATAAGCAGATAAAAGATTCGAAAAGATATAGAAGATTTCATCAACATGATTAGCAAATATAAACTACTATCATGTAACAACAGACACTGAATTCAACAATTGTTTTTTTGTTAAAGATTTTATTTATTTATTTATTCATGAGAGACAGAGAAAGAGAGAGAGAGGCAGAGGCAGAGGGAGAAGCAGACTCCTCGCCAAGCAGAGAGCCCGATGCAGGACTCGATCCCAGGACCCAGGGATCATGACCTGAGCCCAAGGCAGAAGCTTAACCGACTGAGCCACACAGGCTCCCTACATTCAACAATTGTAAAACACATATTCTTTTCGGATGCCCACAGAACACTGACAAAAAGTGACCATATTCCAGGGCATAAACTGAAATTGGGTACAAAGTATATACAAAGTATGACCACAATGTAAAGAAACTGAAACCAATTAAAAAAAAAAAAAAACCTCACATGTGTTTGAAAAATAATAAATACATTTCTAAACAATCAAAGGCCAAAGGAGAAATCACAGTCTTGAAGTCCAGAAAATATTTTAAATGAGTAACAGTAAAAATACTACTTATCAAAATTCATGGAATGCTGCTAAGTCTGAGATTATGACCTTAAATGGACATACAAAACAAAGCAAGGCTGAAATTCAATTATCTAAGCATCTCTTTCCCATTTTCATAGAGGAAGAGAACAGCCTAAAGAAAATAGTCGGGGGGGAAAAAAGAAGAAAACACATCAGAAAAAAATTAATACAATAAAAACAAATATACACTAAAGAGGATCAGTCAAGTCAAAAGTTGGTTCCTTAAAAATAAGACACAAATTCATCAAACAGCAGAAGTTAGAAAACTGGGGATAAATGCTTTATCTTTAAATGACCTATAATGCTGACAAAAACAAAGACCTCTATCTTCGTATTTTTAAACCTGCCATTTTGTGCCTCTGCTTTCTGGTCTAACCTCCTTCAGTCTCTCTCCATCACATTAGTGCCAGTATGATAATACAAATGTGTGTTGAGTAAACAAGGGGATGTTGCTGACACCAGGAAACACTTACCCTGAGGGTATTCCTAATTGGGATCCTGAGTAGTCAACCACTCCACAAGCAAACCACTCCACAGGACTCAAGTTTCTTCAAGGACTCAAGAGAATTCTGCAATCCCTACCAGAGGGTATCGCTTTTTTCAACAAAGTGGCCTTAGACTGAACCATGCAGTTTGAACTCATACTCTGCTCCAACCCATCTTGTACAATAGAGATTGCCTCTGGCCTCTGGTCCTCTGGGTCCTTGAGGGATCAAGATCCTTTCATTTTTCTCTCTAAAATCAGGAAGAGCTGACTTGAGTAGAAGCCACAGTGATACAATGACCACCTCCAGAGCGAGCTGCTGTTTCCTGCCTGCTCAATCCAGCCTTTCTCTCTCTCTAGGCTTTGAAACTCTTGTGTTTACATAATCTCTTCCTCCAAAAAGTCCCTCTGTTATGTTATCCGGGGTCATACTGTCCACTCTCCAGCTGAGCATGCCTCCTGACTCAGCATCACAGTTCCCATTCGCTCATTTATAAGTACATGTTCTCCCGACAGGGGGAAGGGAGAATGGTCATTAAGACTGCCAAAATATTACAAATTTAGGCCCCCCTGTTAAAATTTTAACATAGCTATCCCTGTATGAACCTCCTAATCTCTGCTCAATCTTATAATTCTCAATAACAATTCTTGGGAGGGGTGCAGATTATTCAGACTATAATGATTAAACTGTAAGTAAAACATCAGAGACCCCAAAAGATGATCAATTTGGTGTCTTTGCATAGGGATAGACTTACCCACAAATTATCATTATGAGTTTTTTTCCATTCTGCTTAGTAAAGTGGTTGAGGAAAAAGGACATCTGGGCTTGGGTTCAAATCTTAGTTCTGCCATGTATTAGCTATGCAATGTGGGGCAAGTTGCTTATCTTCTCCATGACTGTCGCTTCATATATAAATAGGTAAAATAAATGCATCTATCTATAATGTATTTTTGTGGATTTAATGAAGTAATATATACAAATTGCCTAACAGAGTTCCCAAAACAGAACACACTAGAAATGTTATTATTAATTATAGTTTTTATTGTAGATATAATTAACAAAGTGTTATATTAGTTTCAGATGTGCAATATAATAAACCAACAATTCTATACATTTCTCAGTGCTTGTCGAGATAAATGTGCTCTTAATGCCCTCTTCCTATTTCACCCCCGCCACCCCACCTCCCCTCTGGCAACCATGTTTGTTCTCTGTATTTAAGAGTCTGGTTTTATCTTTGTTTGTCTCTTTTTGTTTTGTTTGTTCATTTGTTTTGTTTCCTTTTTTTTTTTTCTTTCAAGATTTTATTTAAATTCAAGTTAGTTCACATATAGTATAGTGTTAGTTTCAGGGGTAGAATTTAGTGATTCATCAGTTGCATAGAACACGCAATTGCTCATTACATCAAGTGCCCTCCTTAGTGCCCATCACCCAATTACCCCATCCTCCCATCCATCCTCCCTCCAGCAACCCTCAGTTTGTTCCCTATATTTAAGTCTCTTGTGGTTTGCCTTCCTCCCTGTCTTTATCTCATTTTATTTTTCCTTCCCTCCACCTATGTTTTGTCTCTTAAATTCCACATCTGTGTGAGATCTTACAGTATTTGTCTCTCTGATTTATTTCCCTTAGCATTATACTCTCTAAGTCCATCTATGTTGTTGCAAATGGCAAGATTTTTATAGCTGAGTTATAGTCCACTGTGTGCGTGTGTGTGTGTGTGTGTGTATAAGGCATCTTTTTTATCCATTCATCTTCGATGGAGACTTGGGTTGCTTCCATATCTTAGCTATTGTAGATAATACGGCAATAAACATAGGGGTGCATATATCTTTTCAAATTAGTGTTTTCATTTTCTTTGAGTAAATATCCAGTAGTAGAATTACCAGATCATGCAGTAATTCTATTTTTAAATTTTTGAGGAATCTCCATACTTCTTTCCACAGGGACTGCACTAATTTGCAATCCCATCAATAGTGCACAAGGATTTCTTTTTCTCCACATCCTCACTAAACTTATTATTTCTTGCGTTTTTTATTTTAGCTATTCTGACAAGTGTAAAGTGATATCTCATTGTAGTTTTAATTTGCATTCCCCTGATGATTAGTGATGTTGAGCATCTTTTCATGTGCCTGTTGACCATCTGTAAGTCTTCTTTGGAAAAATGTCTATTCAGGTCCTCTACACATTTTTAATCAGATTATTTATTTTCTTGACACTGAGTTGTATTGTTAATTATTTTTATTTTTAATATTATCTGTTCAATTGTTGCTATATCTCACCTTCCCTTCTCTTCCCTTCTAGTCACTCAAACTCTCTTATCCTTTCTCAGAACTTCCTTATCAGAGAAAAAAGAGATTATTATCTTCTGACACCTTCACTAAAGAATTAATCATTTATTGATAATGGGAAGCAATATTAAAAAGTGTTCATGCTAGTGAGCTGTTACAGACTTAATGTTTGTGTCCCCCAACCAAATTCATGTTGAAACCTAATCTCCAAGGTGATGGTATTTAGAGGTAGAGCCTTTATGAAATTATTAGGTCCTAAGACTAGAGCCCTCATGAATGGGATTAGTGCCCTTATAAAAGAGACTCACTCCAGATAGCTCCCTTGCCCCTTCTATCATGTCCGCACATGGAGAACAGGCTGTCTATGAACCAGGAAGTGGGCTCTCATCAAACACTGAATCTGTTGGTGCCTTGACCGTGAACTTCCCAGCCTCTAGAACTGTGAGAACTAAATGTTTGTTGTTTTAGCCACCAAATTATGGTATTCTGTTATAGCAGCCCAACAGAGTAAGACTTGGGCTCTAGAGCCAGGAGGCCTCAGTTTAGTGCTGGCTCTGTCACATCCTTACTGTGTATTCTTGGACAAGATACTTAACTTCCCAGATTTCTCATCTTAAAAATGCAAATAGTATCTATGTCTGCCTCATGAGGTTACTGAAGATAAAATAATTCATAGAAAGTACCTGGTACGTAGGATGCTTTCTGTATGAATATTGCCTGTTTATACTTTATTAGTTTATTTTTGTCTTTTAAAGATTTTATTTATTTATTTATTTATTTATTTATTTATTTATTTGAGAGAGAGAGTGCGCGTGAGAATGGTGGGGAGGGGCAAAGTGGGAGGGAGAGAGAGAGAGAGAGACTCTCCACACTGAGCATGGAGCCCATCATGGGGCTCGATCTCACAATTCTGAGATCGTGACCTGAGCTGAAACCAAGAGTCAGATGCTCAACCAACTGAGCCACCAAGGCACCCCTCTTCTTGTATTTTAAAATAGGGAAGAGAATTACTATTAAACTTTAGGCATGAACTAACCTCCTAGGTACTCTACCTATTGAAGATCTATAACAACTTTCCCAAAGGCCACCTATCTTTCATCTAATAGTTTTCTTTCTCTCATAGGAGATTTTCCCTGGATTGCTTCTCAGTGAGTCATTCCCCACTTCCAGTTTTGTTCACATTTTAAACCACTCTATGGTTAATGAATCACTTCTACCTACTGCCTTATCATTTGCTTTTTTTCCCCCTCCTAATTCCCCTGGAGAAACAAAATAGAAAAGAAAAAAAGATATTCGGGACCAGAACATTGAATACCAATGGAAATTCAATGCCTTAAATACCTTTGGGGGGTGCCTGGGCGGCTCAGTCTTTAAGCATCTGCCTTCGGCTCAGGTCATGATCCCAGGGTCCTGGCATCAAGCCCGCATCAGGCTCCCCACTCAGCAGGAAACCTGCTTCTCCCTCTCCCACTCTCCCTGCTTGTGTTCCCTCTCTTGCTTCTCTCTCTCTCTGTCAAATAAATAAAATCTTAAAAAACAATACCTTTGGATGAAGCCTCAACCCAAAGGGTAAAATAATCTCCCCCCACCTCACTTCTCTCAATGCCAGAACTCATGATCCTAACCTGTTCTCTTCTTTAAAAGTCTCTAGTTAAAACCTTGGGTACCAATGTTTGCTTGTTTAGTGACACATTTTCTACATTTAGAACACTTTGGAAAATGTAACCTTAGAAGAAGTGAGGCGAAGAGGAAAAAGAGAGAGAGAAGGGGAGTATGAGAAGCAAGGGAGACCAGTAAAAATGAGGAAAGGAGGTGGTGAAGATATAGAGAAAGAGAAAGGAAGAAAAAGAAACAGAATTAGGGGAAATTAGTAAAAAAAAAGGGGGGGGGATAAAAAAGTAGAGATTAGACTTGTGGGTTTTGGTTCCATGCATAAGAAGCCAGTCCATTCTAACAAGTACAAAGTTGAAGAGACTGAAAAATCAACAACTCTTCTTCAATCCATAAGAGAGGGGAGGACACGGGGAAAACCACTGCCCCCAAGATTGGAGAGACAGGCAGATGAACACAAGAAATCATGGCTTACCAGATGATAGACCCATAAGAAGAAACCAACAAGGGAGAAAGTGCTGGTGTAGGATACCAGAATTGTAATTGAAAAATTGCTAGAGTCTCAGTGAGGACAAGTCTGAGAGTTAAAACTCCAGGAGGAACTCAGAGATAAGGGAGTTTCCAAAATATTGTGAGATTTACCTACAGGAACTTGGCCAGGTTCCCACAGTAAATATCAGAGAAAAATCCTCTAGTGCTTCTAGCAAGGGGAGGAGATAAGAAACCATTTGGAAATATGTCAAAGCACTCTTCTTTTGGGGGAAACTAATTAACCAGAGCCTAATCTCCTGGGGTGTTATCAGAGCTCTGGGAAAAGGGAAATACTCAACTCCAGCCAGCTCCAGCCTTCCACATGAAAAGGGGGTAATAACCAACTCCAACACACTCTAGACATTCCATCCCAACTAAGGGGGAAGAAAAGACTGAGACCTAATCATAGACTATAAAACACTTTCCCTCCCGGGGCACCTGGGTGGCTCAGTCCATTAAGTGTCTGACTCTTGGTTTCGGCTCAGGTCATGATCTCAGGGTCATGAGATCCAGCCCCACCTTGGGCTCCACACTCAGCGGGGAGTCTGCTTGAGATTCTCTTGCTCCCTCTCTTTCTGCCCCTCCCCCCTCCGCATTTGCTCTCTCTCTCTAAAATAAATATCTTTTAGAAAAATAAAATAAAATTTCTAAAAAAAAAAAACATAACATTTCCCCTCCCTTAACACCTCACCACCATATTACTCAAAGCTTATTTATAGCAGTAATACAACATGTCTGGTTTTTAAAAAAAAAAGATAAGGCATATCAAAAGGCAAAAAAGAAAACCAATTTTGTTTTTTCATGTTTTTTTAATTTAAATTCAGTTAATTAACATATAATGTATTATTGGTTTCAGAGGTAGAGATGAGTGATTCATCAGTCTTATATAATACCCAGTGCTCATTACATCACATGCCTTCCTTAATGTCTAGCACCCAGTTATCCCACCCCACCTCCAGCAACCCTCAATTTGTTTCCTATGATTAAGAGTCTCTTATGGAAAAAAAAAGATTGAAGCGACACAGCAACCATCAGAACCAGACATGGCAAGAATGTTCGAATTATCAGACCATGAATTTAAAACAGCTATGATTAGTATGTTAAGACCTATAA